GTATATTTTAATTAATTGATAATTTTTGAACAAAAAGTTGATTTCATTATTGAAATCAAGTCTCAATTGATTCAAAGATGAAAGACTCAAGTTTTTAACACTATGTGAAAATGTCAGGTATTTTGTCGGTTAGTTTACTTTCGATCCGCGTTTTCATAATTTATATATTGTTTATAAAAATTATTTAAAATTAACTTTTAATTCAATCATTGATTTGAGTTCTCGATTGACTTTAAATACCCGAACATTTTAATCACAATAATAAGTAGTAAGTAATCAATCGAATGGTAAGTAATTTAAATATCTATTATCACTCTTGAAATCATGAATTTATACATATTGTTGACCACTTGAGTGACTGATGTATTCATTATTACATTAATTCTTTCACTAAAACAAAGATAAGTAATCGAAATGTATTATTAAATATTGATTTTAATTATTCAATAGTTTGTATGACTTTTTCATAACTTATCGAAAATTAACATTTTTATGAATAGTTTTCTTTTCTGTTAACGTTTTACTCTATCTGTAAGTACTTATCATTCAAGCGATTATTATATTATTTATTAATTATAAAAATTTGGATTAAAAATTGTCATTCGCTTTGTTTTGTACGAAGAAATACAGTAAACAAATAACGATTCCTTCCTTTTAGGAAGTTTTCAGACGATTTGCAAATGTTTTGCCGAAATGATATTTTGGATTTCATGTTGAGGTGGGATTCAATTCACTCTTTCTTTTATTAAATACTCATTCGAGTCATTTATTCGTTTCATTAATTTTATGACAATTTTAATTATTGATAACATTATAGGAAATCATTTAGTTATTCATCACTTGTTTAAGTGATTGTGTATTGAATTTATTTTGTAAAATTCAGATCAAATATATTGAGAATTCATTATTTACTGACAAATTATTTCATTTAACATCTCTTTTGATTCATATATTGAATGTTAAATTCTGACGATCGAGTAGTTCTGTCGGAACCACTCAACAGTTTCTTTGATTCCGACATCAATTGGCGTGAACTCAAAGTGTGGTAAATATTTGCGAAGTTTTGCATTGTTTGCCGTCTTTTTGAACTGTCCGTCGCTATAGTTGTTGTCGAATTCGAGCTCTAATGTCATGTCATTATCGGTGAATGCATTGGAGACCAGTTGTGCCGCTTCTTTGATACTGATCTCATCCTCTTCGCCGACACTCAGAATAATTGGTTCGATCTCTTCGTATGACTTCAATACCCAAACAATTAGTTTCGCCAAATCTATTGAATATATGAACTGACGCTTTGGTTCTCCGCTTCCAAACACAACCAATTTGGCACTTTTGGCCCCTTTTTGTTGTGAACATCGGTTTAATTACTTGAAAGTAAGTTTTCGTTTGAAACATACCCTTCTCTTTGGCTTCAGTGACGGCCTTATATGCCTTAGCGATGAGACCCGGGATTACATGCGAGTGATTGACATTGAAGTTATCATAACTTCCGAAAACATTTGTCGGTATTATTGAAGTGAACAAAGTTTTGTGGGTTCTGTCGCCGGCGTTGGAGTACTCGTTAGCGTACGCTTTGTTGAGGACATCAATCATTCGTTTGGCATAAGAGTAGCCAAAGTTTGAGTCGTGCTATCGATTGGAGTTCACAATTAAGGCAATGGTTTGATATGGTTTGGGATCAAGTGATGGTTAGTTTACCGGAGGTCCCAAATGGATCATTGACTCGTCGATCGGATAACTGGTTTTGTCCGGAAAAATACATGTCGACAGACATGATATGCATTTCTTGACATTCATCTCATGAGACATAAGCAGTACGTTATCATTGATGGCGAGATTCGTGCGAAGAAATTGTAGATTATTGTTGATGTTGTGGAAGAGTCCGCCGACCAGTGCTGCCAAATGTATCACATAATTGGGTCCAATTCGGCGGAACAGAGCTCGAGTTTGAGCCAAGTCTGAGAGGTCGGCGTCTTTGGAACCGATGAATACGAATGAATACATCTTAAACTCATCGCCACTCGAATTGACCACAGATTCTATGGCTTTGCCCACAAGACCTGTTCCTCCCGTAACTAATACTACTTGTTTGGCATTCATTGCAACTCTCACTGCAATTCAATACTGTCTATCAAATAGAAATTAACCTTTTGTTGAGTGAATAAACATTTGCATTAAACCTAAACCTAAACTCATGAACGACTGCTAATAACGAGAATACGTGTCTTCACTTGGATTTTATTGAAACATTTGATTCAAACTTATCTAAACTGCAAACAAATGTTTAGAAAATGTGTATTTGTTTGCATTCATTGGTTGAAGTGTTTGCGCACGCCTTGCAGTATGTGATGATCCCATTGGGATGTAAATCACTTTAATGGCAAAAACAGTGATTTGTTTGATTGAAAACTTTATCAAAACATATTGATTGACATTTACATGAATTTTGAATCTAAAAATAAACAGCACTTACATGTGTAATATCTCAACACATTTCAAATGTATTGATTTTAATTTGATAACCAATTAATATCTAAAACTCTGTCTTACGTTCAATATTTGAAAACTTAAAGATAGTGGTAAAACAGTATCGTAATACCATGTTAATTACATCTAGCACATTCCATTACATATTTACCTTTCTATTATACAATAAGTATTAACATCATTTGAAACGTAACTTCAAATATTTTATAATTTGCACACATTTTTTATTTCATTTCATTATCAAAATAACATTCAATTTCCTCTTTTTTCACATCAAAAGTTGTGCTAAAAGTTAAAAGTTTTTGTTTATCAAGAGTTTGAATATTAGGCAAAAAACAAACTCCTTGTCTATAGAATCGATTCCATACGACATACTGTCCGTCGACTATGTCTTCAATTGGACCCGAATTTTCAATTAAATGATCGAATAAATAGAATTCAACCCAAAATGCAATCGATATGTAATTTGTTTTGAGTTTTGGTAAATGAGAACTGATATCAAATTTAACACAACTTTTCAAAACATTTTTCGTATCAATCGTTTCGCTTAAATGACAGCAAAACAGCTCTAAAGGCTTGTCGGCCATCGCTTTGCCCGCATATTCCCAGAGGGGGTGCGACTCAATGGAGGGGTCGCTCATGGCTTTAGCCGATCGGATCAACTGGTCGTAAGCGCTTAAGTCAAAGCCTTCCACATCACAGCCCACGTCGGCATTGATTTTCCATAAGTCATCGAATTCTATTGGAATCGCTTTAATAACAGCTTTGTTTGGCATTAAAATCACATCATTTGTCAATACATTTGGAGGAATCTCATTGAGAAGAGACCACAAACGCAAGTGATTCCACGGAAGATCACTGGCATTAAAATACGGTTCGCTTAATACTAAACCCACGCTTTGCTCTTCTATTTGGTCAAAGTGTTCAATAATTGTGATCTTGTCTTCGCATTCATTAGATTTGGCAAAACTCACGATAAAGTCCTTCGTTTGCCTATTCTTTGCTA